CTGTGTATTTCCAGGAATTTATCTATCTCCTCTAGGTTTTCTAGTTTATGCATGCAAAGGTGTTCATAGTAACCTTGCACAAATAAATAGAAACACATCCCATGCTTATGAATGGGTAGAATCAATACTGTGAAAATGACAAACTGCCAAAAACAATCTACAAATTCAATGCAATTCCCATCAAAATACCACCATCATTCTTCACTAAACTAGAACAAAACAATCCTAAAATTCATACGGAACCAAAAACGGGACCACATAACAAAGCAAAAAGAAAAAATCTGGAGGCATAACATTACCTGATCTCAAATTATACTATAAGGACATAGTCACCAGAACAGCATGGTACTAGTATCAAGATAGGCACATAGACCAATGAAACAGAATAGAGAACCCAGAAATAAAGTTACAGTCAACTGATCATCAACAAAGCAAACAAAACCATAAATTGCGAAAGGACACCCTATTCAACAAGTGGTGCTGGGACAATTGGCAAGTCATGTGTAGAAAAATGAAACTGGATCCTCATCTCTCACCTTGTATAGTAATCAACTCAAGATGGATCAAATACTTTAAGACGTGAAACTATACAAATTCTAGAAGATAACTTCGGAAAAACTCTTCTAGACATTGGCTTAGACAAAGACTTCATGACCAAGAACCCAAAAGCAAATGCAACAAAAATAAAGATAAAATATGGGACTGAATTAAACTAAAAAGCTTCTGCAAGAAAAAGAAACAATCAGCAGAGTAAACAGACAACCCACAGAGTGAGAGAAAATCTTTGCAATCTATACATGCAACAAAGGACTAATACCCAGAATCTACAAGGAATTGAAACTAATCAGAAAAAAAAAAAATCCCATCAAAAAGTGGACTATGAACATGAATAGACAATTCTCAAAAGAAAATATACAAATGGCCAAGAAACATGAAAAAATGCCCATCACCAATGATCAGGGAAATGCAAATCAAACCCACAATGTGATATCACCTTAGTCCTGCAAGAATGACCATAATCAAAAAATCAAAAAAAAAAGAAAAAATGTTGGTGGGGATGTGGTAAAAAGGAAACACTTTTAAACTGCTGGTGGGAATGTAAACTAGTACAGCAACTTTGGTAAACAGTGTGGAGATTCCTTAAAGAACTAAAAATGGAACTACCATTTGATCCAGCAATCCCACTACAGGGTATCTACCCAGAGGAAAAGAAGTCATTATACAAAAAAGATACTTGAATTAGCAATTGTAAAAATATGGAACCAGCCCAAATGGCCATCAATCAATGAGTAGATAAAGGAATTGTGAGATAGATAGATAGATAGATAGATAGATAGAGATAGAGATATGGATATGTATACACATATACCATGGAATACTACTCAGCTATAGAAGGAATGAAATAATGGAATTTGCAGCAACCTGGATGGAATTGGAGACCATTATTCCAAGTGAAGTAACTCAGGAATTGAAAACCAAACATCATATGTTCTCATTCATAAGTGGGAGCTAAGGTGTGAGGATACAAAGGCATAAGAATGATACAATGGACTTTGAGGACTCAGGGGAAATGATGGGAGAAGGGTGAGGGGTAAAAGACTACACACTGGGTACAGTGTACACTGCCCAGGTGATGGGTGCACAAAAATCTCAGAAATCACGGCTAGAAAACTTATTCATGTAACCAAACACCAACTGTTCCCCAAAAAACTATTGAAATTAAAAATAAATTTTTTAAAAAAAGGAAGAAAGAAGCTGTTGAACCATGACAAGACATGGAGGAAACTTAAATGCATATTACTAAGTAAAAGAAGACAATCTGAAAAGGCTACACACTGTGTGAATCCAACTATATGACATTATGAAAAAGGCAAAAATACAGAGACAGTGAAAAATCAATGATTGCCAGGAGATAGGGAAGAGGGAGGGATAAATGGGTGGAGTACAGAGGACTTTTAGGATAGTCAAAGGATTCTGTATGATACTATGATGGTGTAATGGTAGATACGTATCATTATATATTTATCCAAACTGATAGAATGTACACTATGAAGGGTGAACCTAATGCCAACAATGAACTTTGGGTGACAATGATGTGTGGGTTCATCTGTTGTAATAAATAGACTGCTTTGATGGGAAATGTTGATAATTGGAGAGGCTATTGATGTGTGCAGTGAGGGAGTATTTGGGAAATCTCTGTGCCTTCCTCTCAATTTTGCTGTCAACCTAAAACTGCTCTTAAAATTTTTAATTTACAAAAGAATAAAAAAGAAGTAAGTCATTCAGGTAAGTGGCAAACTCGTAAGTGGTAGCCTCATTTTTTTCTGACTTAGAAGTCATCTTACTTTATTTTCAACATTTTTTATAAAGTGGTGTTATTTTAACTTTTTTCCTTGGTTTAAGCAAGTTTTTGAGAACCTAATAAACTATGAGTAAATTCTTAAAGAGCCCAAGTTACAGAAAGAACAGAGCAGAATCAACCCCAAAACACCAAATGTATTATAATTTTCAAGCACCAACAATAAATTTTTGAAAGGTTGAATATGTTTAAGTAAATGAAATAGGCTATCAAAAGTGTACACCATGGAGTACTATGCAGCCATCAAAAGGAATGAGACCATGTCCTTTGCAGGGCCATGAATGGAGCTGGACTCCAATATCCTCAGCAAACTAATACAGAAATAGAAAACCAAACACCACATGTTCTCATTTATATGTGGGAACTGAACAATGAGAACACATGGACACAGGGAAGGGAACAACACATCCTGGGGCCTGTTGGGGGATACGGTCGAGGGAGGGAGAGCAATAGGAAAAAATAGGTAATGCATGCTGGGCTTAATACCTAGGTGATGGGTTGATAGGTGTAGCAAACCACCATGGCACACATTTACAAATGCAACAACTCTGCACATCCTGTACATGTACCCTGAAATTTAAAATAAAAATTTAAAAAAAAAAATACAAGCCAGTAATAGAGAGCTGAAAGTATAAAAGTTTATGTTTGCTTTTTATTTTTCCACTTTGGTCTGCAGTGGTTTTATTTTTATCTCCGTTCAAAGCCTGACATTAAGAAAAACTATTTTCCCCTTCTCAGCTTCACTTTATCAAAAATCAAAATCTTCAAATATGTAAGTAAAAAGAATCTATAATACATTTTCATTTACCCATCAGCAACATTCAGCAGGGGTCAACTTATAGCTACTCTTGCTTGTCAATATCCACTCTTTCCACTACTTCACTCTCCTTATAGGATTACTTTTATGTAAATTCTAGACATCATTTTAGTTCATCTGCAAATATTTCTGTATTTACCTCTAAAGGCATTCTTTAACAATGTATAACCACAATACCATTACCATACTTAAAAACTATTTCTATTTTCTTCAAATGTCTCATGTTACTTTACAATTTGTTTTCATAAGGATCCAAATAAGATCCATACATTAAAGTTGTTTTCATGTCCCTTAAGTCTGTTTTTATCTATAGATTGTTCCTTTATCTCCTACCCCTGCAATACATACCATTTGTACTCTATTTATTAGGCAACTGGATCATTTATCTTACGTAGTTTACAATAAACTAAATTTTACTGATTGCCTTTCTATGGTGTCATTCAACATGCTCGTGTATCTCCTGTAAATAATGCAAATTGGTAGCTAGATCTAAAGGCCGGTCTAATTGGTAGTTATATCTAAAGTTTGATTTTTTTTTTCTGACAGTAATATTTTATAGGTGGTATTATATACTTCTATGAAGTGGCATGTCTGCTTGTCTCTCATTTTTTATGTTAGCAACAATTGATAACAACTGCCTAGATTCATTATTTCATTAGGGGTTTCAAAAATAGTAACATTTCAATTCTATCATTCTTTCTTCATTCTCTGGTTAAAGGTAGCTCTAAAAAGAATTTTCTCTCATCAACATCTGGTTATCCTTAGACATAATCTATAAAGGAAAAACAGGATAAATGCTTGGTTCTTCTGTTTCATTCAAAACAGTACATTCTTATGGATCCCTAACATCCTTCAAAGGTGTTCAGTGACAACATTACTTTTAAATTAACATAATTAGGAACTGATAGAATTAAGCATATTTGAGGCGTTTTAATCTACTGTCTTTGTTTTTATTATTGATTCTCAAATAGGGTGACTCCTCTGAGTCTCTTTGACACATCCTAATAGTCTTTCAAATCTGCCTTGCTTTTTAGTAAGAGAAGTTTATTTTCCAGGCTCATCTTGTACAATATTCAACCCCAAAGTCAGAATTAGATACTTTTTGCAGTGAACTTCAAATCCTTTTAGGGGAAATGTCTACAGAGCACAATCTGAGTATTACATTTCCACTTCATATTGGGTTTTATGTTGTTTCTATATACTTATAAGTGATTAGAACTAGGAAACTATTGTTTTCCTTTTTGTTGGGAAAATGATTCATGACTTCATACTGATACTTTAACTTCAAACTCGTATTATTGGGTTTTCACTTATTTTCTTCTACTATGCTATTATATCTTCTTTACTCCATGGAACAAATTCCATTTTCAATAATGTCAACAAGCTTACTAACTTGGTTGATCTTAAAATATGTAGACACCTGTCTCACAATAACAATTCAATTGCTAAAAATGTAATTTTAAACAGCTCAATATATGTTTTTGCATGGGTTTTATTTTTGTCCTTAGGATATCTCACAAAGGTTGTATAGTCAAATATCTGTGTTTGAGTAAATGATATAATTCATCTCTGTGTGATTATAATGCCAACTTAATATATTTATATTTACATTTCACCTCTTTTACCAAACTTTTATGGGTATTGATGTTTTAAAATTAAATTTTAAATTTAATTTTAAATGATGATATAATTATGTAAAATATTAAATGTTACCAGGGTCAAACCTAACATAGGTATATTCAAATAAAATGTAGCTTTTGTTTCTATAACCTTTTCCCCATTGCATCTCTCCTCCAGAAGCAATTGTTTGCTATTATAGTTTTGTTTTGCTTTTAATTTTTGGTTCATGTTTTCATTTTTTAAAGACAAGTCAATACTTACAGTATATTAAAAATTATCACAAACTACATCATTTGCAGTTCCTCCCATCGAAGGTGAAAAAATCTGTATCTTTACCTCTTTAAATGAAGTTGGCATTGTGGGATTTTTGATCAACGGAATGCAGCAGAAGTAACACTGTGGTATTTCTAAGTCTTTGCCTCAGAGGACCTTGCAGCTTTTGCTTTTATTAGAACCTGAGGCAACAATGAAAAACCGTGTGGAGAGAGATCCAGCTGTCCCATGTCTTCTAGGCATTCCAGCTGGGGCTCATCCATGTGAGTGAAGCCAGGATGCTGAGTATCAATAGCCATAAGCCTCTGCATAGACAAGAACGGGAGACAAACCACCCAGTCAACCCACAATCACATTAAATTAATAAACCATTGTTTTAAGACACGAAATTTGGACGTGTTTGTGTTTTATGAAGCAATGTATGTATAAACCTCAATATATTATACTCATTTAACTTCATAATTTTTTAAAAAATTTTACTATTGTCTGAATATTACTTTATAACAATGTATAGAAATATGCATCATTCTTTTATAAAGCTGCACAATACGTCATCATGAGCTTCCCACACTAGGAAACTTTCCTTTACTGATGGCACTTGGGTCTGTTTCCATTCTTTCACTAGTACAATAATGCTTCAGAGAAGAGAGTTGTGCATATGTCTTTTTTACATTTTTTAACATGGCTATTTTGATGAAGAATAAAATAGAACTTACAGAAATAAGACACAAACTAATTAAAATTAAAAACTGATATAACTTAAGTAAACATTTTTGAAGACAGACTGGTAAATTGAGATATAAATCTGTAAAATTACCCAGAATGCAGCAAAGAGTCAAAAAAAAAAAGAAAAAAAAGAAAAGAAAAAAAGGAAAAGAAGAAAGAAAGGACAAAAAATAGGTTAAAAAGTGACACTGGTGATGGGAGTTAAAGAAGAAGATAAGAATCAGGGGAAAAACAGTATTTGAAGAGTTTATGCCTGAAAATATTTAAAACTGATGAAAGATAGAAATTATAGGAGTTAGTTACACAAATACTTGCAGTTAAATTAAAAGAAGTCCTTACTAGGTACGTTATAATAAAATTGTAGACACCAAAAACAAAGAAGATCTTTAAAAAGGCTGAAAGAAAAGAAAGATTACCTACAAAAGAACCAAATTTATCCTGACAGCTGCTTTGCCAATAGCAATACTGGAAGCTAGAAGCAAAGTGAATAATATATTCAAAGGGATGGCAAAAAATAACTGTCAAGCTAAAACTGTACACCCAGAAAAAACTGTCCTTCCAAAGTGAAGGCAAAATAAAAATATTTTCAAGTAAAAAAGAAATCCTGAGAAATTTTACCACCAACAGACTCTCATGAATAAAGTCTAAAAAAATGTACTTTAAGAAAAGAGAAAATGATCCAGAGAAAAGGTGTAATGTAAAGGGGCAATAGCAAGCAAAAAATTAGTGTAAACATGTAAGTAAATATGTCAATACGAATGTGTATAAAAATAATAGTAACAAAATTTGTAAGATTATAAAAATAAAATCATACTAAAATAGCAGAGAAAATACAATGATATTTGTGAAATTGCTTATTTGAGTTAAAGCCTTCTAAGCTACTTGTTTTGATAAAAAGAAGGGTAAAGATATTGACTAGTTTTAGAATTAACTGTGCATATTAAAAAGAGTAATAACTAAAAGCATAAAATAAAATACGTAGTATGAAAATAGAATGCATAAGTTTCAAATAGCTAGAAAAATAGGCATCAAAGCAATTATTTAATCTCAAATAATAAAGAGGAAAAATGAAACAGAAAATGTAGTACAAATATAGTCCAAAGAAGATATGATAAAATTAAGAAGCCTAAATAATTCAAATGAATTAAGTCTGCAAATTAAAAGAAAACCATATTCCAAAAAAAAATAAATTTCTGCCTCTATGTTGCTTAAAAAAAGACATACATACATTATAAAAAGAGAAAAAGCTAAAAACTAAAGACTGAGAAATTATCTAAGAGGTGAATACTAACCAAAGTGAAGCTATTGCTGTTTCTAGATAAATTAAAACTAGGGCAAAAGGCATTAATGAAGAATGCAATTTACTAAAATGATGTATTAAAATCTTTTGGCACAAAATAATATTGCTTCAAGATCCATAATGAGACAGTTGAAAGAAGTATGTAGCGAAATTGATAAATTCACCACCATAATGAATCTCACTAATTAGTACATCAATCAAATTAAAAAAAGATCGGCTAAGACAGAAAAGATTTGAACCACAAAATTAACAAGCATGATCAATGGACTTCTATAGAATCATGTATACAACATTAAAAAATATATTCTTCTGCATAATGGGAAATTTTTATATACTTTAAGTTCTGGGATACATGGGCAGAACATGCAGGTTTGTTACATAGGTATATATGTGCAATGGTGGTTTGCTGCACCCATTAACCCATCATCTACATTAGGTATTTCTCCTAATGCTAACCCTTCCCTAGCCCTCCAACCCCTGACAGGCCCCGGTGTAAGATGTTCCCCTCTCTGTGTCCATGTGTACTTGTTCAGCTCCCACTTATGAGTGAGAACATGCAGTGTTTGGCTTTCTGTCCCTGTGTTAGTTTGCTGAGAATGATGATTTCCAGCTTCATCCATGTCCTTGCAAAGGACATGAACTCATCCATTTTTATGGCTGCCTCATGTTCCATGGTGTATATGTGCCACATTTTCTTTATCCAGTCTATCATTGATGGGCAACTGGGTTGGTTTCAAGTCTTTGCTATTGTGAGTACTGCTGCAATAAACATATGTGTGCATGTGTCTTTATAGTAGAATGGTTTATAATCCTTTGGGTATATAACCAGTAAGGGTATTGCTGGGTCAAATTATATTTCTAGTTCTACATCCTTGAGTAATTGCCACACTGTCTTCCACAATAGTTTAACTAATTTGCACTCCAACCAACAGTGTAAAAGTGTTCCTATTTCTCCACATCCTATCCAGCATCTGCGGTTTCCTGACTTTTTAATGATCACCATTCTAAATGGCATGAGATGGCATTTCATTGTGGTTTCAATTTCCATTTCTCTAATGACCAGTGATGATGAGCTTTTTTTAAATATGTTTGTTGGCCACATAAATGTCTTCTTTTGAAAAAAGTCTGTTCATATCCTCTGCCAACTTTTTGATGGGGTTATTTGTTTTCTTCTTGTAAATTTAAGTTCCTTGTAGATTCTGGATATTAGCCCTTTGTCAGATGGATAGATTGCAAAAATTTTCTCCCATTCTGTAGGTTGCCCGTTCATGCTGATGATAGTTTCTTTTGCTGTGCAGAAGCTCTTTAGTTTAGTTACATCCCATTTGTCAATTTTGGCTTTTGTTGCCATTGCTTTTGGTGTTTTAGTCATGAAGTCTTTGCCCATGCCTATGTCCTGAATGGTATTGCCTA